TAGCTGTTTGTCTGTTATTGGTGTATAGAAATACTTGTGATTTTTGCACATTGATTTTGTATCCTGAGACGTCGCTTAAGCTGCTTATTAGCTTAAGTAGATTTTGGGTGGAGATAATGGGTTTTTCTAAGTATACAATCATGTCACCTGCAAAAAGAGACAAGACTTCCTCTTTTCCTAATTGAATACCCTTTAAAAAAATCTTACTTTATTGCCCTGGCCAGAACTTCCAATACTATGTTAAACAGGAGAGATGAGAGAGGGCATCCTTGTCTTGTGCTGGTTTTCAAAGGGAATGCTTCCAGTTTTGTCCATTCAGTATAATATTGGCTGTTGGTCTGTCACAAATAACTCTTATTATTTTGAGATATAGTCCATGAATACCTACTTTGTTGAGAGTTTTTAACATGAAGTGCTGTTGAATTTTATCAAAGGCCTTTTCTACATCTATTGAGCTAGTCATGTGGTTTTTGTCATTCGTTCTGTTTATGTGATGGATAGAGTTTATTGATTTGCATATGTTGAACCAGGCTTGCATCCCAGGGATGAAGCCAACTTGATTATGATGGATAAACTTTTTTATATGCTGCTGGATTGGGTTTGCCAGTATGTTATTGAGGATTTTCACATCAATGTTCATCAGGAACTTTGGCCTGTAATTTTCATTTTTTTCTGGTGTTTTTGCCAGGTTTTGTTATCAGGATGTTGTGGCCTCATAAAATGAGTTAGGGAAGATTCCCTCTTTTTCTACTGGTTAGAATAGTTTCAGAAGAAATGGTACCAGCTCCTACTTACACCTCGGGTAGAATTTGGCTGTGAATCCATCTGGACTTAAACTTTTTTTGGTTGGTAGGCTGCTTACTACTACCTTAATTTCAGCACTTGTTATTGGTCTATTCGAGATTCAGCTTCTTCCTGGTTTGGTCTTGGGAAGATGTATGTGTCCAGGAATTTATCCATTTCTTCTAGATTTTCTAGTTTATTTGCATAGAGGTGTTTATAGTATTCTCTGATGGTAGTTTTTTATTTCTGCGTAATTGTTGGTCATATCCCCTTTATGATTTTTTTATTGCAGTTATTTGATTCTTGTCTTTTCATTAGTCTGGCTAGTGGTCTATTTTGTAGATCTTTTCCAAAAACTAGCTACTGAATTAATTTTCTCCTTCAGTTTTGTTCTGATCTTACTTATTTTTTGTTGTCTGCTAGCTTTTGAATTTGTTTGCTCTTACTTATCTAGTTTTTTAAGTTGTGATATTAGGGTGTCAATTTTAGATCTTTCCTGCTTTCTCTTATGAGAATTTAGTGCTATAAATTTCCCTCTACCCACTGTTTTACATGGGTCCCAGAAATTCTGGTACATTGTGTTTTTCTTCTCATTGTTTTCAAGAAACATCTTTATTTCTACCTTAATTTTGTTACTTACCCAGTAGTCATTCAGGAACAGGTTGCTCAGTTTCCATGCAGTTGTGTGGTTTTTAAATGAGTTTCTTAATTCTGAGTTCTAATTTGATTGCACTGTGGTCTGAGAGACTGTTATAATTTCCTTTTTTTTTCTTTTTTTTATTTGCTAAGGAGTGTTTTACTTCCAATTATGTGATCAGTTTTAGAATAAGTGCAATGTGGTGCTGAGAATAATGTATATTCTGTTGATTTGGGATGGAGGGTTCTATAGATGTCTATTAGATCTGCTTGGTACAGAGCTGAGTTCAAATCTTAGATATCCTTGTTAATTTTCTGTCTCATCGATCTGTCTAATATTGACAATGGGGTGTTATAGTCTCTCACTATTATTGTGTGGGAGTCTAAGTCTCTTGGTAGTTCTTTAAGAACTTGTTTTGTAAATCCGAGTGCTCCTGTTTTGGGTGCATATATATTTAGGACAGTTAGTTGTTGTTGAATTGATCCCTTTACCATTATGTAATGTCTGCTTTCATCTCTTTTGATTTTTTGGTAGTTTAAAATATGTTTTATCAGAGACTAGAATTGCAATCCCTGTTTTTTTTTGTTTGTTTGTTTGTTTTGTTTTTTGGTTTGGTTTGGTTTTTGCCTTCCATTTGCTTGGTAAATCTTCCTCTTTCCCTTTATTTTGAACCTATGTATGTCTTTGCACGTGAGACGGGTCTCCTAAATACCACACATCAATGGGTGTTGACTCTTTATCCAATTTGCCAGTCTGTGTATTTCAATTGGGGCATTTATCCCATTTACATTTAAGGTTAATATTGTTATGTGTGAATTGGATCCCATCAGTGGTCTTTACAATTTGGTATGATTTTGCAGTGGCTGGTACCAGTCGTTCCTTTCTATGTTTAGCGCTTTTTTCAGGAGTTCTTGTAAGGCAGGCCTGGTTGTGACAAAACATCTTGGCAATTGCTTGTGTCTTGCGGTTGCTCTTCTTGAAGTGTAACTTTGTGGTGTTTTCTGTGTTTCCTGAATTTTAATGTTGCCTCTCTTGCTAGGTTGAAAAATTTCTCTGGAATAACATCTAAGAGTGTTTCCCAACTTGATTCTATTCTATCACTTTCAGGTACACCAATCAAAGGTAGATGTGGTCTTTTCACATAGTCCCATATTTTTTGCAGGCTTTGTTTCTTTTCATTCTTATTTCTTTAATATTGTCTTCTCATTTTATTTCGAGTTTTCAATCTCTGATATCCTTTATTCTGGTTGGTTGATTTAGCTATTGATATTTGTGTATGTTTCATGAAGTTCTTGTGCTGTGTTTTTCAGCTCCTTCAGGTCATTTATGTTCCTCTCCAAACTGGTTATTCTAGTTAGCAATTTGTATAACATTTTTTAAAGTTTCTTAGCTTCCTTGCCTTGGGTTAGAAACTGCTCCCTTGGCTCAGAGGAATTTGTTATTACCCAAAAGCCTTCTTCTGCATTATTTTTATTATTTTAGAGACGTCTCACTGTGTCGCCCAGGCTGAAATGCAGTGCCTCAATTTCAGCTCACTGCAACCTGAGCCTGCCCAGGCTCCAGCAATTCTCCTGCCTCAACCTCCCAAGTAGCTGAGACTACAGGTGCATGCCACCACACACAGCTAATTTTTGTATTTTTAGTAGAGATGGTATTTCACCATGTTGGCCAGGTTAGTCTTGAAGTAATGACCTCAGCTGATCATCCTGCCTTGGCCTCTCAAAATGCTAGGATTACAGGTGTGAGCCTCTGCACCCAGCTAAGTAATGTATTTTTTAAAAAATATATAACATTGTATTCATTTCCTCTGCCCATTCTGCTTCGCCACCAGCAATGCATTTCTATTCAGTTACAAATTTGTACTCTGAAAACTCAGTAAGGCATTTTTGCTCCAGTTTGTGTTTTAGTGGCATCTCTGAAATAATTCTGTAAAGTCTCCCTTTGTTATGCCCACTTAATACTTTGTTCAATTAGCTTAATGCTCTGCTAACAATTGAACAGTAATTTCCTTAGACATCTGGAACAAATAAAGTTTCCAGTCTTTGCAAGAGGCTCTGTGTGCATGTTGGAGAATGCCTGTCACACCTACCTCAGCACTTTATAAATCTGCTAAGCTAACTAAAAACCTTAAAAGAAGAAACTGAAAAATAAGATGCTCACAGAAAGCTTTGATGAGCAGTGACACATTTCTGAAACATAAAAGGCTACCCAAACTTAGGAAAGAACTGAGAAGGCCCTAAGCCCTCACCTCTAAGTAACTTTGAGGGTCTATGAGAGCAGGACATTACATTTCTCTAGCCAAAAATGTCTGCAGATAAGAAAATGTTTAGGGAGTAGATTATTTAAAACAAAACTATGGCCTTATTATAAATTTTCAACTGTAGGTATATTCTAATCCTTGTCTGCAAACCTTCATTATGGCCTTTAGGCTTCAACTGAAGTAAAAGTGCTTACTTGGTCTTTCTTACCTGAAAAGCTCTGAACTCCATTTAATTTCCTCTAACTCTGGACATTTGCCAAAAATTATTTCCATTTCTAAAAGAAATTTTTTATTCAACATTTCGGCCTCTCAGCTCCTGTTTTCAAATCAGCAATTATTTCAAGTTAAATTGCATAAAATATCAGTCTTCCGAATATGAATTTTCTAAACTCTCTGTCATCCTATCTCTACAAACTTTTATAATTTTACTATTTTCCATAAAAATACATACTTGCATATTTATGTGAGAGAGAGATGGGTAACTGAGAGGGAACAACAAAGAGAGAAACAGATATAAGCAAAGACATTTGGTACATGTTATTTCTTAAGAATTTCTGGTCATTACACTGAAACATTATTTATAGATGACAGGATTTTCTACTTGAAAAATCCATGAAAGATAACCCAAAATTACTAAAATTACCAAAGAATTTAATCTTCAGTATTTATAAGGATTTGGGGAAATAGTCTTTCTATTATATTCATGGTAGAAAAGTAAACACATATGTAAGTTTTAGTAAACTATATTCCAGTATTTATGAAAAGTAAAAGATTCTATACATTATGGTGCAGCCATTCATATCTATAAAACCACCTTGAAGAAATAGTATAAGAACAGTATAAGATGTATGCATCTAGTAGCATTTGTACTAAACAATAGTTCAAAAATAACCTAAACATCCTTTAAGATGGAAATAATTTTTAAACTATGGAATAACCATCTAATAGGATATTGTCAGCTATGTTTATTTATATTGCTTCTTAAAATATGTTATTAAATGTCATCTCCAAATCACAGCTATATTCTACATACACACATAAAAACGCACACATGTATTTCTGTTTGTGTATGTTCAAATACATATTCCCCTCTTCTTTGCCTTAATATGTCTGTACATCTGTGTGTGTCCACGTATGTGTGTATTTAACCACTAGGGGAAAAAAAGAAAAGATATCCTGGGACAGACTGGCTAATTCAAGTTTATCTCATATTATTCCCTTTGGCTGGAATGAGCTTCCTTTCTTTTTTCTCTACATGTATACACATAGATGCAAAAATAAACACATACACGCCATATATATCCAACACATACACATATACACATGTAATTATATTTTAATAAACACTGGGAAAAGACAAAGTATACAAGTTAATCGTCAAGACATCATTCCCATAGACAGGAGTGAGAGATTAACAAAGTTCATGTTTTAATACTTTTAACTTTTTAAAAAATCTCAGATAATTTCTGATTTTTTTCATTTGTGGTAGCAAAGCCAAATACGGCATTTATAGAGTGCTTTCCATTTCATATGCACTACAGATACAATGTAGCTTATCATCTTAGGATTCTGTTACAAGTAGAATTTTATTGGAGATGAAAAAATAAATTTTCTTTCATACAGGAAAAATTGGAATGGATTTTGAAGGATGGGTAAAATTAAAAGAGATAAGGCTCAGAGACGGCCTTCCTGCTTTTAAGGAAGGAGTAGATGATGGTTGACACACAGGACAGGAAACAGCTGGCTTTTTTTTACATGAGACTGAAGGGCCTTGCTCTAGCAGCCTGACATTTTGTCAGACTGGAATGAAACAAAGCTCATAGGAGGGTGGTACAGAGCCAAGCCCTTTGTGAACTGGGGTGGTGTCAATATCCTTTGGATCAACTAGAGGTTTCAAGGTAAAATTCTGCAAAATGGTGGTCAGGATTAAAAACAGCTCCATGCGGGCCAGGCCTTCTCCAGCACAAGCTCTTTTTCCTAAAAGTAACACACAAGTTCATTACTCATTTAATTCTGGAGCTGAGTTAATACCCAGAAAGGTTTAAATTAATATGGAATGAAGAAATATATTAATGAATGAATAATGAACCTACAGCTTTTTCTACTTACACCCAAACGTGGTTTCATTTTTTTAGCAGCTATTTCTGGGTGGGTACTACATGAAAAATTTTTGTGCATGCATATTGGAACTGCTGTGCTGTAGCTTTCCAGTGACACCTTTACACACACACGCACGCACGCACACAAGTCTATCCCAACTAGCACAATACACAACACTGTATCTACTTCTCCATAAACTTCTGACCCTAGACTTGAAAAGTAAATAGATTTATTCATTGTCATCTGGATTCTAAAGGATAAATCCTGCCACATACCTCCTTTTAAAAAAATGGCTGAGAGCTTATTATTGCCAGCTATAAAAAGAAATGTCACCAACTGGCCACAGGCAATTCTTAGGGAGTCGTTTCTTTCCACATCTTCCACCCAGTTCCCCTCACCTCAGCCATTATTAATCATTCACCACTCCATAAACAGACAGGCAATTTCAAGAAGCCTCCATGCAGAGCCCTTCCTTATTTCACTTGACTCCTGATGTACACATAAGAAGAAAAAATCTTGCTTGCCTGCTGAAAAAACCATGAAATAATCACTCTTTTTAAAGTTGCCACTTTCATCCAGGAAGTGGCCAGGGTCAAACTTCTCTGGATTGGGAAATTCCTTGTCATCGTTCAGGACAGAACTCAGATCTGTTAATATTGTTGTGCCCTGAATGAAAGAGAAAAAGATAAACCAGATCAAAATACAGTGTTCATGGAATGCAAAAGCCATAGATAAGAAAGGCCGACATTTTGTATGTGTGGATTCTGCAGGGCTGACTATGGGACTTGAGTTTATGTGGTTTTTACTATCTACGAAGAGTCCTGCAATCAATTCCCCATGAATTCCAAGGGAAGACTTTAAATTAAAACCTGTCAGAAGAGACAAAGAAGGTGATCAGTATGATGACTAAGGGGAATTTCATCAAGTGGATATAAAAATTATAAATGTACATGCACTCAACATCAAAGCACTTAAATATATAAAGCAAATATTAATAGACCTAAAGGGAGAGGCAGACTCCAACATAATAATAGAAAACACCCTATTTTCAGCAATAGACAGATCATTCAGACATCAAAATCAACCAAAAAACAATGGTGTTAAACTGCTCCTTTGACCTGACTTAGTAGGTATGCACAGTACATTCCACCCAACAGCTACAAAATATACACTATTCTAAACAGTGCATAAAACACTCTCCAGTATAAATCATATGGCAGCCACAAAACAAGTTTCAACAAATTTATTAAACTCAAGTATTTTTTTTTTCCTGAAAACAGTGAAATAAACCTAGAAATCAAGAATGGAAAGTATCCAAATACCTAAAAATTAATCAACATGTTTATAAAGAATGAATGAGTTAATAAAAAAATTAAGAGGAAATATTTTATAAATTCTTGAGACTAATTATAAGGAAAGTAAAATATACCAAAACCTATGAGATACAGTAGAAGCAATGCTAAGAATGGAGTTTAAAACAACCCTTAAATCAAAAAGAGAACGATCTCAAAATAACAATCTGACACTAAAACATAAGAAACTAGAAAAACAAAAACAAACCAAATCCAAAATAAGTAGAAGCACAAAAATAGTAAATATTATAGCATAATCAATAAAATACACAATGAATATAGGAACTAGGTAAGATACAAAGAAGTCAATGAAAGAGAGAGTTTTGGGTTTTTTTGTTTGAAATGATAAGCAAAACTGACAAACCTTCAGCTAGACTATGAAGAAACAGGGAAGATCAAAATAAGTAAAATGAAAGACAAAAAAGAGCCATTACAACTGGACCACAGAAATGCAAAATATCATTAGAGACTATTATTAAAAATTAGATAATCTAGAAGAAACTGATAAATTTATGGACTTATATAATGTACCAAGATTGAATCACAAACAAATAAAAAACCTGAATAAGTTAATAATTGAGTAATGAAATTAAATTAGTAATAAAGATCTCTCACCACAGAAAAGTCAGACTATATTTTTATATTCACTGCTGAATTCTACCAAGTTTAAAAACACCAAGAAAGTTTATTTCAAATCCTTCCAAAAAATTGAAATGGAGGAAATACTTCCAAACTCATTCTATGAGGCCATGATTCCTCTGATATCAAAGACACAAGAAGAAAAGGAAAACTGCAGGCCAATGTCTCTGAAGAACATAGATGCAAAAAATCTTAACAAAATATAAGTAGGCTGAACACAATGGCTCATGCCTGTAATCCCACCACTTTGGGAGGCAAAGGCAGGCAGATCACCTGAGGTCAGGAGTTCAAGACCAGCCTGACCAACATGGAGAAACTCCATCTCTACTATAAATACAAAATTAGCCAGGTGCAGTGGTGCATGCCCGTAATCCCAGCTACTTGGAAGACTGAGACAGGAGAATTGCTTGATCCTGGGAGGCGGAGATTGCTGTGAGCTGAGATTGCACAACTGCACAACAGCCTTGACAACAAAAGTGAAACTCCATCAAAAAAAAAAAAAAAATAAAAATAAAAAAATAAAAAAATAAAAAAATATATATATATATATATATGTATACAAGCAACTAAATTCAACAACAAATCAAAGAGATTCTTCAACATGATCAAGTGGGATTCATCCCAGGGATGCAAAGGTGGTTCAACATACACGAATCAATAAAAGAGACAGATAATTAAACAAAAGGAAAGATAAAAACCATGTGAACATCTCAATAAACATAGAAAAACCATTTGATTTAATTCAACTTCCTTTCATAATAAAAACATTCAAAAACATGTATTGAAGGAATCTACTCCACCATAACAAAAGCCATGTAGAACAAATCCATGACCAACACCTTACTGAACATGAAAAAACTGAAAAAAATTTTATCTAAGACTTGAAACAAAACAAAGATACTCATTTTTACCACATGTATTCCACATAGTACCAGAAGTCCTAGTGTTCAGGTAAGTAAACAAAAGTTAAATATCTAAGAATAAATTTAATTTAGGAGTTGAAAAGTCTATACAATGAAAATTATAAAACACTAAAAAAAATGGAAGATTCAAATAAATGGAGATATCCTTGTCCACTGATTAATATTCCTAAAATATTCATACTAGCCAAAACAATCTACAGATTCAATGCACTGCCTATAAAAATAAACATGATATTTTTTACAGAAATAGAAAAAACCACCTTTATATTTGTGTGGAACTACAAAAGACCCTGAGTAGACAAAGTAATCTTGAGCAAAAGGAAAAAAGCTAGTGAGAGCATACTATCTAACTTCAAAATATATAACAAAGGCCAGGCATGGTGGCTCAGGCCTGTAATCCCAGCTCTTTGGGAGGCTAAGGCAGGCAGATTACTTGAAGTTGGGAGTTCAAGACCAGCCCGGCAAACATGATGAAACACCATCTCTACTAAAAATACAAAAAATAGCCAGACATGGTGGTGGGCATCTGTAGTCCCAGCTACTCAGGAGGCTGAGGCAGGAGAATCACTTGAACCTGGGAGGCAGAGGTTGCAGTGAGCTGAGATCACACCACTGCACTACAGCCTGAGTGACAGAGTAGAACTACATCTCAAAAAAAAAAAAAAAAATACACCCACAAACACATACACACACATATATAACAAAGTACCAAAACAACATGGCACTGACAAAAAAAAAAAAAAAGGCATAGACCAAGAAAATAGATGAAAAAGTCCAGAAAGGAGAAGGGAGCCAAGATAGCTGATTAGGAGCAGCTCAGGATTGCAGCTCCCAGCAAGAGCATGGAGGGTGAGTGGACACCGCATTTCCAGATGGATTGTTATTGCCCATAGACCAGGAGATTCCCAGGGGGAGGAGCCTCATGGGTCACCAGCACAGCTCTTTTGGCTGGCACAGCGGGTCTCCATACAAAATACATGGGTCCGGGTGCCCTTTAAGCTAGCGATTGGAGCACCTGGGGGACACAGTCACCTATTCAACTGATAAAAAGGGGGCTGAAACAGGGAGCCAGGCCAGGAGATTCTGCGGCGAAAAAGTATCACAAGCCCCCAGTGCAGCTGTTTCAGCCAGCGCAGCAGGTCTCTGCACAAAATCTCACACAAATCTGGATGCCTTTCCAACTAGTGACTGGAACCCCTGAGAAAGAGAGTCACCTGTTCAACTGAAAAAATGGGGACTGAAACAGGGAGCTAGGACAGGAGATTCACTGGCAAAAAAGCACCCAGAGTTTCCAGTGGCTGTTTGAGCCGATGCAGCGGGTCTATGCACAAGAAATCACACAAATAAGGACACCATATCAACTGGTGACTGGGATGCCTGGGAGACAGAGTCACGCATTCAACTAAAAAAAAAATGGGGGGGGGGGATATGAGGCAGGGAACCACGTGATAAGGCTCAGACGGTCCCACCCCCACAAAAATCAGCAATCTGAAATGCTCTGGATTGAGAGTTTCACAGCAAGCACAGCTGAACCCAGGATGGTCCAGCTCTGTTGGGGAGGAGCATCCACCATTACCAATGGAGTCCATCAATACCAAGGTAATCCACCATTGCCAAGGCGGCCGGCCATTGCTGAGGCTGTCCACCATTACAGAGAGAGTCTGCCATTACAGAGGTGGGCCGACATTGCCAAGGCAGTTCTAAACATACCCCTATAAACAGGACTGCAGGGAAGTTCACACAGCTGCCAGGCAGAGCCCACAGCAACACAGCAAAACCTCTACAGGCAGACTATGACTAGGCTGCCTCCTTGCTGAGCAGGGCAGTCCTGAAAAAAGGTAGCAGCATGACAGAAACTTATAAATAAAGCCTTATCTTCCTGGGACAGAGCACCTGGGATGGGGGGAAGGCATTTCTGAGTTCTGCTGCAGCAGACTTAAATGTACCTGCCCAGCAGCTCTGAATGGAAAACAGAGCTCATAGCTCAGCACTTGAGCTCCTAAAAAGGACAGACTGTCTCCTCAAGCAGCTCCCTGATCCCCCTATATTCCAAAGAGTCACCTCATAAAGAAGAGCTCAGACTGACATCTGGTGGATATCTTTCTGGGACAAAGATAGCAGAAGAAGAAACTGGTAGCAACCCTTACTGTTCTGCAGCCACTGCAGGTGAGCCCCAGGCAAGCAGGGCCTAGAGAGGACCTTTAGCAGTCCTACAGCAGAGGGGCCTGACTGTTAGAAGGAAAACTAAAAAACAGAAAGAAAGAACTTCATCATCAACAAACTGGACATCCACTCAGAGCCCCACCTGAAAGTCACCAAATAAAAAGACCACAGGTAAATAAATACACAAAGATGGGAAGAAGCCAGCACAAAAAAGATGAAAACACCCAAGACCAGAATGCCTCTCCTCCTCCAAGGGATCATAACTCCTCACCAGAAAGGGAACAAGGCTGGATGGAGAATGAGTCTGATGAATTAACAGAAACAGGCTTTAGAAGGTGGGTAATAAGAAACCTCTCTTATTATTTAAACTAGCTAAAAGAACATATTCCAACCCAATGCAAAGAAACTAAGAACCGTGAAAAAAAAAGTTTTGATGAAATGCAAACAAGAATAAACAGCTTAAGAGGTATATAAGTGAATTGATGGAGCTGAAAAACGCAACATGAGAACTTCACGAAGCATGCACAAGTTTCAACAGCAAAATTGCCCAAGCAGAGGGAAGGATATCAGAGGTTGAAAATCAACTGAA